GAACTGTCAGTTCTGGGAAGATAATAATGCCTAAAAAGGACTTGCTAATTTTATATATGTACCATTTGTTGAATGTGAATAATAATATCAGGTACTATTAAAACTAATTTCACCAGTTGCTGTAATGGCAAGAGGATTGAATGATCTTCCATCGGAGGAAAGCCTTTCATCTCTGAGAAAGGCCTACTACTCAGCGATGAGGAAGGTCCTGCCCATGCTAAGTGGCATGATCTCACACCAGACAAGAGATTCAGCCATGTTGAATTACATAAGTAATTTGTCTTGTTTTGTAGCTGGTCCTACCTCATTGTATGGGTTAGCCATAATGTGTTTATCCCTTTAACTATTGACGGACATTTGGGCTATTTCCAGTTTGGTGCTGCTTTGAGTATCTGCATACAAGTCTTAGCATGGCATTATTTTTCATCTTTTCTCAAAAAATACCTAGGAATGAAACTGATAGGTTATTTGGTAGCTGTCCAACAGTTTTCACAAGTGGTCACACCACTTAACATTCACATTAAATATGTATGAGGGCTCCAATTATTTCAAACCCTGCCTGACACTTGTTATTGACAGTCTTAATTTTATCCATTCTTGGGTATATGGTATCTTACTGTGATTTTAACTTGCATTTCCTAGAAGACTAATGATGTTGACCAGAAGTTGGTAAATTATGACCTGGTGGACAAATCCAGCCAACTGCCAATTTTTACAAGTATAGTTGACCCTTGAGCAATATGGGTTTAAACTGCACTGGTCCACTTATACACAGATTTTTTTTTTTTTTGATACATACAGTACTGTAAATGTATTTTCTCTTCCTTATGATTTTCTTAACATTTTCTTTTCTCTAGCTAACTTTATTGTAAGAATACAAATATAGAATACATATCACAGACAAAATACGTGTTAATTGACTCTGTTATCAGTAAAGCTTCCAGTCAGTAGTAGGCTATAAGTAGTTAAGTTTTGGGGAGTCAAAAGTTATATGCAGACTTTTGGCTGTATGGCGGGCCAATGTCCCAACCCCCACATTGTTCAAGGGTCAACTATATAGTTTTATTGAAACACAGACATGTGATTTTAATGCTACTGGGCATGTATTTACTTTTAAAAATTAAAAGAGGATTAATCCTAATTTGATTTTGAAAGAATTTTTTTTCTTTTTCACCAACACCCTTTTGAACTATTTAGAGATACCCTAGGATGTTGCAAAAAGAGGATTAGAAACAACTGTCCTAGATCCAAAGTTCTACTTTACCAGTGTGCAATCTTTTCCTCAGCCATAATGGTGGTGTTTTCCTGGAACGATCACATTTTTTATTTTGTCTCACTCTTGATTGGTCTAGGCTTTATTTCTTACAAGAGACAATAAAATGTTTTTCTAGTAGTTTTATTACTCTGTACTCCTGGACTTTTCTGGGCTACATATCTGCCATTTTGCTTATAAATGTTTTCCTAGGTAAGCTCATATCATGCTATATTATTTTTCTGTTAACTCTACCTTATGGCATTCACCAGAAGTTTTCATACTAACATTGACAGAGAACTGTCATCACATGACTAGTGTTCCAAACCATTAAACTAGAATTAGGATGAAGAATAACTTATCAAAGATTAAAAATTATTATAGGATGCATGGAGATATACCCTAAAATATCAGGGGAAATTATCCAGTCGTGTAAAATTGAATACTAGTCCAAACATTCATTTGAAGGAATGCTTGACAAACTTAATCAGATTGAAAGGGCAAAAATTGCTTAACCTTTTTGCTGAGCACTGAAAAGACCAATGGTGTAATAATTGAGTGGGTGGAGGGGCGTAGAGAAGACAAACAGACGATAGAGGGAATCCCTACAGGGTGACAATGTGAGCATGGGTCAAAGTGCACTGCAGAATGTGAGAAGATTATACTGGCCAAAAAGAAATAAGACATGTTGAGAAGCAATAAAGGAAGAAGTATTGTGTGCCAGGATAATGAAGGGACTTGAATTTCGAGCTTCAAATAAGCAATTGGGATGATAGTCTCAGAATATGAAGTTTGTGATGCTGCTTTGAGGTATGATTTGTCTGTGTACATCTTTCTCTCTTTTTCAAGACTTTTAAAAGTTTAGCTCCAGAGGGTAGTATGAATTAGAATTTTGGAGAAAGTAGGTCAGCTAGATGCCAATTCATTCAAAAGTTACATGATGTTGATGTATTTGCTGACATAAATCATGAACGAAAGGGACAAAGACTGGAGTCATGAAAATTCCCATGTGGAGGAAATGAGAACACTTCCACTTTTGTTGGTCAGTAATTCTGTTTACAGCCTTCCTTTTTCCTCACTTGGTGCCACGATCCTTTCCACTTTCTAAGTGGAAGAGTAATGTGGTACATCAGGCCAAAATCTATGAGCAAAGGTCTAATATGATGATGCTGTGACTCTTGGCTCTTAGGGTACTTAGGCTGCACTCATGTTTGACTAAGATTCCTTATTCTCTGCTTCCCAACAAGGGGTTGGAAACAGGCCAGCTGTGTTTTAATTTACTCTGGGACCTAATAACATTCGAAGGTAGTGGAGTGACTCTAGGGTTAATCTAGGCACCTAACTAAGAAGGGAAAAATTAGACAAAATCTATGTTATAGCTAAAGTATAAACCCCCTCATCAAAAGCTAATGAAGTTGGGACAAAACATTAGCAGCTGGCATCAATTTGAGCATTAGGGTCTGGGGGGTTGGCTACACCTTACTCTACTGGCTAATGATGACGTTCTCAATAAAAACAGAGCCGGGGTGTGCCTGGGTGGCTCAGTTGGTTAAGCATCTTCCTTCAGCTCAGGTCACGATCCCAGGGTCGTGGGATCGAGCCCCACATTGGGCTCCCTGCTTAGCAGGGAGCCTGCTTCTCGCTCTCCCTCTGCCTGCCGCTCCCCATGCTTGTGTGCACACACGCTCTCTCTCTCTCAAATAAATAAATAAAATCTTTAAAACAGTTTTTAAAAAAATAAATAAAAACGGAGCAAGAAGTACAGCTTGGTGTGAACTGAGATCCAGTTTGACCTTGCACTTAACTTGCAGAGTGACAGAGAGAACTGGCTGCCCTCAGTTTCATTGTTTGTGATATGAGAGAATTGCACTAGGTGAGCTAGACTAGATGGATCTTCCTTGGACTTGGATAAACCACCCAATATCTCTGGATTTCAATTTTGCCAGAAATGTAGGAATAGCAATTTGAGAATCTAGAAGTTTGTGGAAATTTCATCAAAGTCTTGGAAGTATAAAGAACTATGTACATACCTGGAAATAGTAGTACTGGCAGCTGAGGTAAGACAGTGGTTCCCACAACTTGGTATCCAAGAAGGCGCTATCTGTACTTTTTTAAAGGCCTATTGGAATCCTTTTATGTAGCAATATTGAGGCAGGCCAGGCTAATTTTGACTGGAATAGTATAAATTTAGTGTGATGACTTCGAAAAGCCATGCTTTTCAGAGGTACTGACTGGTATTAATGCAATATAAATCTTTGAATCATGAGAAATCAAATGTGGATTACTAAATTAATAAATGCCATCTTTCCAATGGGTAAAATATTCTAAAAATATTAAATCTCTTTAGAATAAAGAAAGAAAACAATTGAGATCTACAATCTCGTATCTAAAACTCTTGGGGTCAGACATGTTTTAGAATTCAGAAAATCTTTGGATTTTAGAAATGTATTAGGTTGTCTAGACCTCTTCAGTGGAGGCGTGGCTAGCACCCCTTAATTAAACATGTTAATATTCCTACAATTAAACATGTGAATAATTACACAGACTATTCAGTGAGATTTGAGAAATACTTAGTGGCCTCATATGGTTCAGATTGGGTTTTGTTACCAAATTAGTTTAATATGAATTTACAAAAAATCTTACAAAGCCGTCTTGGATTTCTGTCTTGTGGCTAAAATGTAATGGATGGCCTTCATTAAGTAACCAATTATTGAGCAATTACTATGTGCCAGCTTTAAGGCAGTGCCATTTGCATAATCTTTGTAAACAACCCATCAAAGTGGACATGGTTATCCAGTATTCATAATTTACAAATCAAGAAATTCAGGGTGTAGTATGTTCAGTGAGTAGCCAGAGGCCCCACTGATAATTAAGTTACAGAGCTGGCATTTGAACTCTGCTCCTTCTGGTCCCAAAGACAAAAGACAATGTTGTTTACTCACTGTTTGGTCAAGACTTCTGGTTAGGGTGATAATCTGCCCCTGTTGCCTACATAGTTAAAAAAAAAAAAAGCCTTGAAAATTTATGTTTTCTCTCCTCATTCTGCACAATCTCTCTAGGAAAGTTCATCCAATGGTTATTTAGACACTGATGACATCCAGATGGATCTGTGTTCTAGTCCTGAGCATCACACTTGATTATTCAACTTCCCATGGGTCATCTCCATGTAGTTGTCTCATTGACCCTGCGGGCCCCAAATAGATCTAAAGATCTTTCTCCTCCATTTATCAACTCTCTCAGAACTCCCTATTCTCCCTAAGCTGACCCCCCAACCCGTGTCCCTTTGTTTCCAACTCTACATATCAATTTCTGTCTTTTGGGGATACAGCTGGAGGGCAGCATTGATGAGGCTGGGGTTTTCAAAGTGCAGTAGTTAAATTTACTAATGAGAATTTCAGATCCTTTGAACATTCCCAGACAATATATATTCAATGAAGGTTTTGACTATTGGATAACCAAAATAGCCTTAAATCCCGTCTACCTGCTCAATAATAAATTACCAAATATTAAGCCCTGAGATTTTACTTTGTGTTCTATACTGCTTTCTGTGTTATGTAGTTTGGGTTTTCGGATCTCAAAATTACCCGTGCTTTAGCAGTTTGGGTGTATGTGTTGGAATATTGAGTAGCTAAGTAGATACCATGCTTTCTAATAACAATACCTCTAGCAACTAACCTTCGCCCCAAATTTGCCCTGGGATGCTAAAGTGGTAAAATAACAGCCCTGTATTTTGTGTTCCCATCTTTAGGTAAAAGGCCAAGCCTGAAAGTCCACATCAATACCACAAGCGACTCTATCCTCTTGAAGTTCCTACGTCCAAATCCAAATGTAAAACTAGAAGGTTTTCTCCTGGGATATGGCAGCAACTTGTCACCAAACCAGTACTTCCCTCTTCCAGCGGAAGGGAAATTCACGGAGGCTGTGGTCGGTAAGATGTTTGGGTTTCAGGCGTGGGAAGAAGAGAGGTAACAAGTAATGGGGTACCTCGTGAACTATAAATCTTGAAGGCAAGCACTCTGTCTTCTACATCTCAGCCAAACCAAATGCCAAAGTTACAAATCATTTACATAACTGTTGTAACCTAGATAGCGCAGTGCTTTGTGTGGAAACAATACAGAAAGCAAACTCGCAGGTACCACAGAGATAATCACCTTCGTTGCCATTATCCTTACAATCCTTGACCAGAGAATTTAAATTGCCTAAGGAAAAGTAAGCTAATGTGCCTGGTTTAGATCTCTGTAACATAGCCTGTTTATTTGGATTACTTTTTCTCCCTGTTTTTTTTTTTTTTTTTTAAGATTTTATTTGTTTATTTGACAGAGAGAGAGACAGCGAGAGTGGGAGAGGGAGAAGCAGGCTTCCCGCGGAGCTGGGAGCCCGATGCAGGGCTCGATGAGGGGCTTGGTGACCTGAGCCCAAGGCAGACTTAACTGACTGAACCACCCAGGCACCCCATCCCTGTTCTGTCTTTACATTCTTCTGGTGGAAAATAACTTCATGAGAAGCTACCTTTAAAAAAGAAAAGAAAATATATTACATTTTTTAAAATTTAAAAAGATTAAAAAATTAAAAGCTTTTGCAGGTATGATAAAATTTTACATTTCTTTGGAAATGGTTTTAATCCCATTAACAATGTAATTTGAGGATGTAAGCATCTTTAGGCCTTGTTCAGAAAAATTATTTGCAAAAATAAAACGTTTTTTTTTTTAAGGATAATATTTTTGAAGAGGGGATCATCTATTATGAATGCCTTCAAAGGCTTTCTGATGTCTCAGATGAGATTTGTATTTTGATCCACTGCTAGGATTATTGCTGAAGAGCCTTTCCATGAAGTTGCCATGTTTAACCCCGTTAACTTGCACTATCGTAGATCACATCCAGCATTCATGCATATAAGCAGGGAACATTTGAAGAGAAATATATTTTGTCCTGCAGCCCCTTGCTCCTCATAGAGAAGTCTGTTGTACTCTAAAATCAGACAGGAGACTAACATTATTAATTAAACATCTAGACTAGATTTTACCTAAGATAATTGTTTTAAAACAAACACATTACAGTTTGTTGCCAAAAAAATTTTGAGAATTACGCACTTTTGACCAATGTTAAAACACCAACCCTAACCATGTAAACCAAAGAATTTGAAATTTTGCAAATATTCCCCCACCACATTCACTCTTTACTACAAAAAGTGCCTGGAAGCTATATACTCACCCCACACACAGAGGCAGGTCCACTGCTCCTTTATTTATTGAGCATCAGAAGTAATACTTTATTTATGATAGTTTTTCCCCTTAGTTATTTCGATTGAGAATTTAGTCAATTGTAAACTTCCTTTCCATCGGAGGTGAAAAGTGTTCAATCTTAAAGGGCTAGAAGTCATATTGCTAGTGAAAAATGTGTGCAGAAAAGGAAAGAAAAATTCTGGTATAAATATACCAAGGTTTCAGTAGCTCAGTGATGAGGGATAATCAGATGGACCCAGCACACTTTTATTTACTTACTGTTGTTATCCTTTAATTTTTTTTATTATGGAAAGTTCAAATATCTAAGGAGAGAAAATATTCCAATGACCCTCATGTTTCATCATGCAACTTGAAAACAGATCACTGTTTTGCTGATCCTGTTCCATGTATTCTTCATACACACAATTTTTTATTACAGGATTTTAAAGCATAACTGGATACCGTATTTTTAAGTCTGCGAACACTTCAGTATGCATCTCTAACAGATGAGAAATATTTTGAGTAATGCCATGCCTTTATCACGTTATAATAATAATCCTACCATATCATTTGATACCTAGTCCATATTTAAGTTTCTCTGCTGATCTTAAAAATGCTTTCTTCGAGTTGTTTCTTTCTTGCATCAGGATCCAAACAAGGTATCCATGTTACATTTGGTTATTATGTCTCAAGTCTCTTTTGTCCTATAACAATTCTCTCTTTCCTCCCTTCTTAAATGTCACTGATTTGCTGGAATACTTGGCTCATACATCCTGGTCCACATTCTGCATTTGACTGGTTGCTTCCATTCTGTAATTTTTAACTGGTTCCTCTCTGTCCTCTATTACCCATGAAAAAATACGTAGATTTGGAAGCTGTGCTAAATTTGGATTCAGCTTATTGGGGGAAAGAATACTTTATAGATGGCACTATGTATTTCCTAACAACTCACGAAAAGAGACACATAAATGGCTGATGTCATGCTCAGTGACGTTAAGACTGTTTGGTGTGTTTAGGTGATCTCGGGCAGATCCCTCCATGATAAAATTCACCATCAAATTATCACTTAATAGCTTACGCATCTATTGCTGATTATTGCCCAGATCCACTGCTGATTATTTCCCAGATCCATTATTTTATACAGGGCTTCTAAAATGGTAATTTTTATATTCTAGATACATTCTAGACACAGTCTAGATATAATCTAATTCTATCATTCTGCCTTTTTTAGCTGAATTCTACAATAAAGAGTTTATTTTTTAAAATTTTCCTTACATAGAATTTTAGGAAGGTTGGGATAAATTCTCATTGTAATAAATTGGTGCTCTGATAGTCTCTGGTGGTGACCTATAATATTGTTTTATGATCAATAAGAGTGCATTGATTTTTACATATCTAATGAGGCTTAATCAATATTTCATGTACCCAACCCCTATGATTCTTCTCACTGTCTAGCCTGCATAGGGTTGACTGTTTACCTTGGTTCGCTATTAACCTGAATTTCTTGAAGTTAGGGTTTATGTTATTCTTTGTTTATTCATAGCAAATGATTTACATTGAGTAAATAGGCAGTAAATAATTGAGGCGCTAAATTGAATTGACTCAAGTCTGTGTAGAATATTTTGGCTGAAGGAGGCCAGGACAGATTGTCTTGTCTAGGCCCTTGTCATCAGGCAAGTATATATCTAAGCCATCCAGGGTAGATAAAATACATTGCTGTGTATCTTAAAGTTATCTCTAGGGACAGAGATTCCAAAACTTCTCCTGGAAGGCTATTCCAAGTAGACTTTTAAAAACTCTTACCTCATCCTTTAGATAAATATGTTCTTTTTATAATTTCCTTTCTCTTCTAGTATTCCAGTGGAAGAGGAAAAAAAAATTCCTCTCACATCTTTCCTTTTCCATCTTTCTTTATGCCAAAGAATCTGTGTGTTTCTACTTTTATTACTTCAAAATGGACTTGCATTTCCAAGTTAAATTATTCTTTGGTTGCTTTAGTTTATTATTTATAGTCTTTCTTAATGACTGTTTTATATTAATTGCTCCTAATTGATTAAGCAGCTATTAATTTTTGATTGTTGCTATAACAAATTACCACGAATTTGGTGGCTTAAAACATCACAGATTTATTATCTTACAGTTCTGTATGTCAGAGGCCCAACCGGCTCTCTCTGGGCTAACATCAAGGTGTGGGCAGGGTTACATACTCCCCTGGAGGCTCTGAGGGAAAAATCTGTTTCCTTGCTTTTTGCAGCTTCTAGAGGCTGCCACATTCCCCTTCCACATTCAAGCCAACAAGAGTGAGTCAAGTGTTTCTCATTACACATCGTTCTGAATTCATCTTCTGCCTCCCCCTTCTACTTCAAAAGATCCTCGTGACTATATTGAACCCAGCTGGATAATCCAGGATGCTCTCCCTATTTTAAGATCAGCTGATTAGCAACCGTATTTATATCTGTAACTTTAATTCTCCTTTGTCATGGTACCAAACATATTTATAGGTTCTTGGGATTAGGATTTGAGCTATCTTTGAGGAACCATTATACTGAGTGCCACAAACTATACACTTGAAATTTGTGTCTCAATTCTCTCTCCCAGTTTACCAGTATGATCTCAAGTCTCAATTCTGTTCATCTGTAAAATAGCAATAATGTCTATTTTTCACAGATGTGCTGTGGGTACATTTGTGAATTCATGATTATCAAGTGATGAGTTGAAATCCCTTGAGTGCAAGCTACTCTACGATAGCAAAGAATTATTCCTTTTTGAAAAAAAAAATCACTTAAAGCCTCTCCTCTTACTTTCTTCTGTAATAAGATAGTAGTTGTTCAGTTGCACTAAAGTAGACCCAGACAGAGTAACTTATTTTCATTTTCTAAACAATATTAAATGCCACATTGTGACACATTTCACCTGTATGATATGTTTAAAAGATTTCCACCATTGAAATGAGAAGCTGTTGATCATTCAGAAATATTCAAGTTAGCATTTAGTGACTGGTGGACTAAAACTTTCTTCCTGAGTAATCACTTGTTAAGTATTTCTGTATTTATTTTAATATTGGTCTATCTATTGAAAGAGGCATTTTCAAAAGTTACATACTGGTCTTACATATAAAACTGAAAAAAATATTCCCTCTTGCTATTTTGGAAAATATGATTCATATAGAATTTCTGCAAAAAACTTATTTCAGCAATATCTTCTAAAATTTTAGTAGATTAATTGGAGCAGTAGAAAAAGTACTATTATCCCAGGTGACTATGAATAATTATTAATAGCCATGAGAGTCTTGCAATGATGTGATAAAACATGATTCCTATTTAGTAGATCTAGGTTCCTATATCATTTTTTTAAACCCATACCATGAATATTCTCATTTCTGGTTTACACATCCAGCCATTGCTTTGTTACTTTTAAATTCAGCTGTTGGTAATTTTGCAAATGTCCAATAAAGTAAAACAGAATTTTTTGACTTTGAATCTTTATAGACTCACACCTTATGATGTTCACTTGACATCTAAAAAGACTTTAATCAGTATCACCTGGGCAGGAAAGAGTTATAGTCCATCAATTATGTAGTGCAAGTTAAGGAGTTATTTTAGTATCCTTACTGCAAGAAAAGCTTGAATTGAAGATAAATCATATAGTTATCACTACCACAAAATCTGATTAAAGAGTTAGTCTTCCTAGCAGGTGTTAGGACTCA